ACTAGACAGACAGCTTCCAACGTCAACCTCTATCCTCTCTTGGCTAAACCTATCACGAGAACAAGTCTCATCCAAGGAATCTCTTTAAGTCGATTCTCTAGCCATCCTCAAGGCAGATTCCTTCATCTTTTCGGAGGATGTCTGGTGTTGCGGCAAGGTATTCTCTTGGTTCTGGATTATTGGAAGCCGTACCACGTACAGATTACTGTAGAGGGAGTTACTTATGCCGCCAACCGATCCTGACAGCCGAATTAGACGGATCATCTGCGTAACATTGTCTGTAGGGAGCCTGGAGAACATATTATCGAAAATGCTCGCCAATGCGGGAAAATACATTTTGCATCAGACATGGAACCAGCGCAACGTAGCTAGGGTGGGATGGTCGAAGGGAAGCTGGAGTTCACGTAAGTAAGATCTGTAGGTATTGGTAATGCTAATCCCGTAAAATGTTAACGCACATGAGCGCCATCGGCACAGAAGAATGTTGCACTCATGATATTAATTTAAAAGTCTCTGGGGATCAGCAAACTGTATTCACACCACAAATCGTCAAAACTCGTAGGATGGTGCCTTCGTTAAGATACGCTTCTAACGTAGTCTCAAGGTGTGTCCATCTTCCAAACCAACTTCATTCTTCTGTTCTGAGAACGGAAGTGAGTAGCATTGCCTGTTCAGGTACCTTTTCCCTAGGAAGAAGATCCGCCAGAATCAGGGTTGAGAGAAAAGCTATTCAAACGATTCTACCGAAGTACCCATGTACGGGGTAGTTATCCACAAATTATTCCCGAACAGAAAACAATCCCGCATAAAATTGGCATTTAAAAGCCGAAGAAAAAAAAAAATTGGCAAGCCTTATAATCATAGAGAAGAAAAGAGCAGAAGGCTTGACATGAGATTGCCAATAAGAATGACATGGTCTCCCGTCACGCAGGAAAGCTTACACTGGTCAAAAATGAGACCTATAAATACAAACCCGACATTGGCTCAATACTTTGGACACTAATTACTTGTATAAAATGCCGACGTTGATTTCTGATCTTGAGGTGATCGTTAGAATAGAATGTGGTTGTCGTGACGATAAGTGGAAGCGATATCACGTGATTTGCTCCTTGGTTTGGTGGATTTATTCTCGTTGGTAAAGGGGATGTTAGTTGAGATAATTTACGCTGACGAGCGTCGGCCATTTCTTTCCAACATATTTGCCACCTCCCTTTGGAAATTGGAAGGGTGGGTCTTGAACTACAGCTCACACGCATCGAAATGATCTCGCGGGATGCTTCCGTCGGAGATCATAATTTGTTGACTGTGCATGAGTCATGGAGGAATAATACTTTTGAGATCATGACAACAGATCCAGTCTCGGAGTATTATATGTCCGTTGTAGATGAAAAATAGACTGTAGTTAGAAGATCCACCCCGCTCATATCTTTCTTACACCCGCTCTTTTAATCAAAATTGATCAACCTCCAGAACGATTTTTCGCGAAAATTGTGCTGCGATTCGAATAAAACTTGTTTTGCTGTGGGTGGCAGGTTATAATTGTCATACGGGATTTGACAATTAAACGTCAATGTTTAGCCGCTTGAATGAATTCTAATATGGCTGGCTCTTCATACAGTTATTTAGTCAAGTAAGTACCTAGTCCTCTCACGTGGCTGGTATGGGGGCCCCAAACATGGATAACTATGTGGAACAAACTAGAGAGGCATATCACTTGCACCGATATCGACCAAAGTATTTGCCTGGGACGAAAATAATTAGCTGACACCGTATCACCGGGAGCGTCCAGGCTGACAGAGGTAAAGTATGACAGAGTGTGAGAAAATAGGTAGAGAAATTCGAACGGGGAAAGGAAAAGGGAACGACGGGCATGATAATTTAGACTGTTGCATGCAGACCTCCTTGCTTCCGGCACCAGGAAAATCAGAACATGTGCCACCAAAGGCGACGGCGCTTTTTAAAAACCCGCTCGGAGTATTGGCTTAAACCACCCAAGAATCAAAATGTTCAAAGGTGGCACTCTTCAAGACTTGACGGCAACAACGAGACAGGAAGGTCTTAGGTTCGAATCCTGCAACCGCCAAAGATTCTTGAATGAGTGGCTATCTGGAGATTTGTTATGATTGGAAAGAATAGTTATGTTTAAATAAACTTAGTTGTACTTCAAGGTTTTTCAGGGTTTTCCCAAGAGGGCATGTATCGGCTAGACTGGTGAATGGCGTGAGTCAAAGGGGGATCGCATCCCACCCAGCGATTGCATGTGCGAATGCTTTAGCTAAGATTCTCCTATCAAGGATAACAAGTCAAGTTGTAACTAAGAAAACGGTTTGCGGCTTATGAAGTGCCTCGGTATCTGCCCAGAAGCACGGCGGTTAACTTTGGCCCTCCGATCTGTCTTTGGATGGTTTCGATGATGTTCCCGTCCGCACTAAACCTTTCGGGGTAATGAAATGTGTGGAAATGCTACAGGAAATTGTGGGGTACTGGATGCTGTGGAATTGTCCAGATGCCTTAAACATCCCACGTGCCCCCCTGAATAATGGGCGTCGATATAACTGGTGGCCTTTTTGAGGAACAGTGCAATATCGCGAGCAGGGGGAGAAAGAGTTTTTTGGCTTGCGGAGATTTAACGTTCGGCACTAACTCGTCAAATCCAGACCTGACTTTCACTGGTACCCGCGAACTTATTCTTGAAGATTGTGCGGAGTAACTCTCAGGTGTGACTGGTCCCACCATCTTACCACGGGTCGAATGTGCTGTTCTCGAGGGTACGGCATCAACGGACCTTTGCAGCCTCGCCCGACCGTTGAGGCAATGTTGGTATTGCTGAATGACAAGCGGGTTCAGTAACAAACGCTAATGAGGGTCCAATTATTTAGAGTGGCGGGATCTGGTAATCTAAGTGCATGAAATCTTAGGTGGCTGCAAGTGCTACAGTTAGCTAGCTGATTATGACAATGAGCTGATTGAACTTTTTTTTTCATCAAAAGTCCATGCTCAGCAAAAGCAGTCAATACTTTCAGAGGAACCCTGTAATTTCATGATGATAGACTTCTTGAATATTTCTCTTCTCATTTTTTTATTTTTATTTTTATTCCCCAGTTTCTGATCATGGCAAAGCAGCATCTCAACTCTGCTATTCCAATCCAATCTACCTGACATGCAGGCTTGCCCAGCGACATACTACAGCTACAGACTGGAGATAAGAGACCATCTTCATCATCCCCCAGCTCACGGCTTTGGGCCTCGCGTGCCCACCGTTGAATTATACCTAGCTCCATAAGCTTAGCAAGCTTGATTGTATCAATCAGCGCAAGGCCATGCTTGGGCTTAATTCTCTGTAATGTTTTACGTACACACGCGTGAGCGTCCTGCTATTGCATCAATCACAACCACAAAATCATGACCAACATGGGCGGTGCTTATCACAATCAGACCGCATCAAGCCCTGTTGCGTTGATGGCCTGAGTTGATGACCTGGTCATTCATGCAGCACCTTTCGCAGATGTTCATCATTTACTTCATCTTGCGATGTGGATTTTCTGGGTACTGGGGTCATTGATCGACGAGCACGATGTTTTCTGCATAGATATAGATTAAGGGGTAAACTCTCTGGCTTAAACGTATACGCTTACAGTTAGAAATCACCCCTATGTGGTGGTTTATGTCACATTAATCCTAGTGTGAGATCTGTGTCAAGCGAATCCACTCAAGTTGTAATACATATCTTTCCTTGAGATTTTTGGGGTTCACCCTCCGGCTTACTTTCTCTCACATGAGTTGAAATGCTCCCTAAACTTTGACGCATCCCAATGCTAGAACTTAAGGTATAGCTCGAAACTGGCACCGCTGGATTGCTACCCGGCCACATGACTGAAGTTTTCAGAAGATCGTTCACATAGGAAATTTCTCTCTCTTTTTCTGATTATGCGGACCATATTTTCTCAATTACCTTTACCTTCCCCGGTTCTCTGCTCCAGCGTTGAGAGTTTTTCATTGGCACATTAATAAGGCGTCCTGGCAGCCAGTGCTGCGATTCAAGGGCATTCCGGAGAAAACATTTTCTTTCACATTCGTTCGTTATTCATTTTTCCTTCGCTGAGTAGTGTTTTCCCTCTTTCCTGCTTTCTCATATATCATGCCGAAGAAAGCAGCCATAAATCTGTTGGCTTACAAAATACCTTCCTTATCTCTCTAATTTCTTCTATTTGCAGTTTGAACGCTATAGCTAACAACGGTCTACTTCGTTAAGGTCAGCGAAATAAAAGTTGTTGATGATATCTTTCAACTGCTCTCGGGAAGGACCACGACATACACCTTCTTGAAACTTTTTATTATATTTTCTCGTATTTTTGGTATTTAGTTATTATTTATTTTTATAATAAAATGTCCAACCTCACCTGATTACAGACTAAAAATATCCTCCCCTTTAGAGTTCGCCTGGCTTCCCCTTCCCGTTGATTTTTCAACTTAGCAGCAGGGCTCAGCTAAGGCACCGTTAGCGCCGGCGCAGTCCGTTGTGTTTCTTAGCGGGGTTGCCGTTATTTTTGCGTGTAGTGGGATCACACATAGTGGTGGAGAATAGCTCCTCCGTCGAGTTTTGGGATTTTCTGTAACATACTGATCTGCATGCATATGGTGCTGTTTTTGACCTTCAAATTGCAAGTTGCAGAACTGATGCTGATGGATGGATAGCAGTGGTGTTTAGCTAAGAGAGTTGACGAGGTGGGCGCGAGAAAGTGGTGGGTAGTTTGATTTACGATTTCGGGGCAATGAGGGTCGACTCTGTTCTCTTTTTTCCAGGAGATCCATCATGGGTGTTGATAAATGGAACCCTTTGGAAATATGGTGAAGTCACATGTGGGATGGGCTCTCGGGTTGTCGTCTAAAAGTTTCAAGAGTTGACTCAAAGCTGTGCTACAGAACTTCTTGACTCGGTCATTTTGCTAAGCGGCTATCTTTTTGGATATCCGCCAGCTTTCTTTCTTTCTTTCTTTCTATCGTTTATCTGGGCTGTTGGGGATAAATTTTATTTAACTTCTTGTTCAGTTCAAGGAAAAGAGTTAAAAGAAAAGAGTTAAAAATGGCTTTGGCTTCGTAATATCTCATCAGAAGTAAGTTACATCAGTGACAAAACTACGGAAATCCCGGAATTGAAAAAGAATATACCCCGCAATTGCAATTGATCATGTTAAAATGCATATGTATGTCAGCATAAATTTCAACCGAACCAAGGGCATGCATATGCGCTTAAACCAGGTTATATATATATATATATTTCGCTGATATGTCCAGTTCCTCATGATGGTCCCCCACTCTCCGTCTCCTTCATCCTTTTGTTTATATGACAGACCAGAATGCAGCACGGCCTTGGCGCATTTTACAATTTAAAGACTGAAATGTTCTAGATATAGCACTTGCCATGGAGGCGTAACTCCTGAGAGGTTGCCAATGATGGTAAAGATTTTGACGGCTGACCTGGTTCTCCGTAAAGATGCTGGTTCATAAAAAATGCGGGGCAAAACAAGCTCCTCCTGGGACCCCAAGGGACGACCCCATTCCCTTACCGTTTTCTTTCTTTCCTCCCAATACCCGTATGAGGTAATCGCGGGGAAATTTTAGATGAGAAAGAAGGATTTGAGGGGTTTATCCATGTCAACTTTGAATTAAATCTCCGTGATTCTCGGAAGCATAGTTCTCTGGGCCAGTGAACGCACCTAGAATGTGTGAATATACATCAGAGTCTTCACAAGTTGACGTCATTTCTTTGGTAGAGTTAGTTACGGCACTAGGACAATCAGAATCAGATGGAGAGGGCATCTTGTCAAACTTGCAGACAGTGTTCGAGTACGCGCGTTGTTTCAGGTGTGCAAAGTAGAAGAAAGAGAATGAGAGGGAACCTCTTCCTTATATATTCATAAATATATGTATCCACATGGCGACAACCAGAGCCGGATATTCGAAACTTGGGGTGGGTTAGCTATGGGTATGATTATATACCCTCCTCTGCTTGTGGCTCCAAACGGCTTCAATAATGCCACGAGCATTAGAGAAATACAATCTGACCGCTGCGTTACCGAGTTCCTGTGCTGTTTTTTTGGGTTCCAGATGTGAGGCTGGAAAGTGCATGAAGAAGTAAGATTTGATCATGCTGATAGGGATGGGAGCGGGAGTTAGCTGAAAGAGACGGAGATATATCCTTAGAAATTCAGTAGATTGGCGATTTGGAGTCTTCCGGGGGTTAAAAAAAAAAAAATATTAGGTGTAGTTTGGTTAAGAACGTAAATAGGTAACCAAAAGGAATAGTGACAAGGCAGGTTCATTATTATTCAACAGCAGAGGGAGTTTTGTATTTGTTCCTCTCCATCCTGAAGCCCCTGTTGCATGATGAGGAGGATATTTTGCAGCAAGCAAGTTCAGATGAACTTGTTCATAGTGACATCAAGATTAACTTTTCAAGATTGTAAAACAAGTCAACACAAGAGCTTCAAGCTAATAGTCATACATATGTTGGTTCTGGCCCCTTTTGCTCAATGCCTTTCTCTCATTGTCTATTGGTCCGGGATCTTTTCCACCAGGTTTTGTTATTTGTCTACGCCATGTAAATTGTGTTTATTGTGTCAAATAGTTAAAATATGACCAGGTGTGTCCGTTGAGCACTTGGAACCACTGGACAAGCTCCAAGGAGTGAACCTGAATCATAACCAACCGCGTGCGGACCGTACCTAGGCATTTTAAGCCACGACTGGGCCAGCTGGGAAATACAGGCTTGCAGTGGCTTTTCCAAAGCGCGTACGTTTCAACGACTTGAGGGCATGGCTACTTCAAGAAAAAGCTGTGGGCGTAATGAGGCAAACGACACAACTGGCAGACTGGATGTAGTTGGATATTTTGGTGGTCGTGACCCATGAGAGGATATGATCCGGAGATGAAAGCGCTCTTGTAACTATCATAGATTTCTGAATCAGGATCTACCTTGACATGGTCTCGGCTAATTATGCTGTTGAGAGAGGATTTAAAGCTGTGTGCCAGATCAAAAGAACCGTGGAATTTTTGTTGCTGTATCGGTGGAGGACAAGGAGAAGAAAGTAGCAGAATATGAACATCAAGATGCTGGTAAACTTGGGCACCAGCATGGTTTTTATTTCTAAGGGGCAGCGATGAAGAATTGCGAAAATGGTTTCTTCAGCTGCTACGATTCCCTACAGCCTGAAAGATGTAACATCTCCCGTCAGCATACGGTTTACGTAAGGTGGTTAAAGCCCGGAAGCGGCTGGAAGGGTAGGTCATGTCAGGTGGTGGTAGTCTGGTAGTGGAATGGTAGTGGGGTGGTGGATGGAGATTGGATATTTCAATGTCTAACTATTATGTAGGCTCGGAAACTGGAGGAGGGTTTAGAGGGAGGGAAAACATAATTGAACGATGGAATCGGATGATCAATGACACAGAGGGATAGCATAGGTAGGGATTGCAGCAGCAAGATGCAGAGAGAATGAGGGAGACATAAAGAACATTGGGGTGAATGGTGCTCTTAGAGAAGACAAAGGATGGGGGTATCTTTCTCAACGAAAGGGAATTGAAATTGACATAGATATGGAGACACATACAGGATCAGTTAGTATTCTGACAACGGATGGCTAGTTCTGTTAATTAAATATATACCATGTTATTCTTAATTAGCTTAAGCCTGTGTGTGTGTGTGTGTGTATTTGCAGCATCTCAAGGTTACAGTACCTGGATATTTGCTCCAGAAATTAGGGAGAATAAAGAGAAGAGAAGAACAATAAGAATAGCACAGAACATGCCCTCATTTTTGGGACCATAACTGAACGCTTCCCTTTCAATTGTGATCAAAATTTTTTTTTCCTTCTCTAAATTCCATCAAAATTTCTACATGAAGGTCTAATTTTCTAGTTTATCAATACCCACTGCGGACATTCGGCAAGCCCCAGACAAGCCCCTCTGTGTGCCTCGCCCTAAATAGCTTAACCGGGGAAGCAGAAGTAAGACTTTTTTCGCGGTGTCTTCCACATTATTGCCAGCTTTTCTGCCCCCCTCTCTTTTCTGGTAAAAAATAAAAAAAAAAAAAAATTTAAAAATTTAAAAAAAAAAAATTAAAGAAATAATAAAAAAAAAGAGCATTTACCTTATTTTCTTTTGCCTTCCTCCCTTCCCTCTCCCTCGCTCGTTTGTCAACCCATTCTCCTCTCTCTTCTCCTCCCCTTTTTGCTCTTTGAGACCCCTCACACAACACTCCCTCCCCTCCTACATGCAAGTACATACCCAGGTAACCTAACTAGTTACCGATCTATATCCCACTCTGCGCCTCCGAAATAAGCGTGATAAATAAAATAATACAAAAAAATATATCCTGAAGGCCACTCCCATCTAGCCCGTGTTTCACTGTCCTCGAAACTTGCTGTTGTAACTGCTGCCTGTCTGTGGCTTTCTGGGTGTGTGTGTGTGTGTGTGTTGTCTCTCCCTCTCTGTTCTACTGTTCTACTGTTATATGTGTTGTGTGTTGTTGTGGTTGGAGGTCTGCTTCCCGCCTCTTGTCCCGAACCTCTCCCGACTAGTTAAATAAACTGCACCTCAATAAATTTTTTTTTTTTCCCTAACATCCCGCACTCAACCCCAATCTCAGGTCGCCTCACCCACTCCAGCAACCCCAAGGCAACAACAGCATCACCGCCATCCACAGTCATAACGACGGTATCCGAAGTATTCTACTTTCTTTCAATTCGCCGTACGTTCTGTCTCGACGTCGTTTTTCTTGCTCTACTCGCTGCTCGCCATCGTTCTCGTTACCATCCCGCCTTCGTCTGGAAGTTTCCGTCGCGTGGAAGCAGAAATTAAAAAAGAAAATAATAATAATAAAAAAAAAAAAAAAAAACCTCCCCTTTGGTGGGCTGGCTTGGGAACTTGGTGAATACAAGGATATTTTCAAAAGAGAGAAAGAAAAAAAAAAAGTGAAAAAAAGAAATACGTCGTTCCTGTCCTTTTGCTTAATCGTACTTCCTTTCGCTTCGTTCCACCAAAATAAACGAAACGGAGAGGTTATTAGGAGAATACCACGACTTGTTTGTTCGTAAGATTTTTTTTTTTCTTTCTGTGCTCAGCACAAGCATCACGACCTTCTTTTGGTACTCTGTCTTCTCAGTCTTTACGGTTGCTTCCTTGATTGCTATTTGAGGGAATAAAAGGTACGTGTGCTCGATATTTTTGTCCTCAAATATCTATCAAATCGCCTCCCTTCACCATCCACGAACACATACGAAATTGAAAACAGAACTATCTTCTGGTGACCTCTGTTACCCTCCAGCCTTTCTTTGTCTATTCTGGAATCACCATTTCAAATCTTCTCACCTTCTGTTTGACTTGGGCTGTGTCTTCTGATTTACTCTCTGTGTGTGATTCTATGTGGGTGCGGGTGTGGGTAGAGGCTTACAACTTCACAAACCAAACCTAAGCTCGTTGTTTCGGATCACATCCGACGGTTCTTCCCAATCTATTTTGTGCGGCCTAATTAAAACCCTTACGGGAAGTCTACTTGTTGAGTTGTTCGCTGATGTCACCTCTCCCTTAGGTCTCTCTTTCGTTGTGAAACCCTGGCTTCTTGAAACATTCTCCCCACAGGGAGTCTTGTTGAGCCCTCCCTTTCCCACCTTCCCGTGCCTCACTTGTCCTGGACACGATTTCGTTTTCTCGCCACAGGGAGTTGACTGGCCCTCGGTGTTCCGGGGTTTAGAGATAACAGTTGTTGGTGGGGCAGCCTGAGGGTGGAGGTTGTTCGTTTTCCGCCAGAGCGGAAGTTGGAGGCGTATTGCTGAACCCGTCGACCTCGCGAATCCTTCCCGTTCCATAAATCTATATAAAACCTGGTGCCATTTTACAATCTAGCCTTGTGGTGAGCAACGTGAAGTTTTGAGAGAAAAAAGACTTTCTAATATGTCGGCCTCCACGAGTAAACCTGGGTTGGAAATGCCCGCGTTTTCCTACGCCCAAGCTGCGAAGGGGTTTCCTACGCCACCTACCGTGCAGAATGCTGCTGAGAAGCAAAATAAGGCAGGTACCACATCGTCAGATCCGAGTGGCCAGAGGATATCTGCTGGGTCGGTAGATGGGGATGGGTCAAATCGAACTGTGGCCTCCTCAACGGACATGGAGTCTTCATCTATTGCTACAGACCATACTGATACTACGGACAAATCGCAAACGTTTTCTGAGCGTAACTCGGATTCGACTGTTATAGCGCCTGCCGCTAGTCAGCCTTCTAAGAATGCAACTTCTGGAATTTCGTCTGTGAGAACCGCATCCGCCTCAACGTTGCCTAAAGGTGATGAGATCTCGGGCACCTTGAATGGCTCATCTGATTCTGCCTGGGACAAGCAGTCACAATCATCTGGAGCTGTCGAAAAGTCGAGTGAAACTGCAACGGCGGATTCGAACAAGGAAATATCGAAGGAAAATGGATGGGAAAAGCATACTACGGCTGTGAAGGAATTAAGGGCAGCTCCTATTCCTACAGTCAATGTCTGGCAACAGAGGAGAGAAGCACAAGAGGCCAAGGCCAAAGCAACAGCCGCATTAAAGTGTCCCACCACTCCGCCTACGGCCAAGCCTGCCGCCGCGAAATCCTCGCCTCTTGGTGAGAATCGTTTGGAGAATTCAAAGGGTGGATCTCGAAGAAGGGCGAGCGGCATTCCTGAAACTGCATCAGATGCTGCTGGATCCAGGAAAAAGCCAAATGACGGCGGTAAGGGAAAGGAAGAAGGTAAGGATCAACAAGTTTCGACCCCTATGTTGTCTTCATCTGACACTTCACTCCGCATAGGCTCCAGAAAAACTGGCGTGCGATCAAGTAAAACAATAGATATTGACAATGAAAAAGCAGTGGAGACTCTCTCACCTGTAGCAGATGCGTCCTCGTGGCCTACCCCGCAGCTCGCACAAGGCGAAGAATTCCGCAAGGCCCACGAAAAGGTCGACAAGACCGAGAAATCTGAGAAGGAAAAGACCCCTACAGCTGGATCCCGTGGGAAAGAGAAGTGGATGCCGGTTCCATATGTCCCTTCAGCCGTCTTTAATACTCCCCTTCCCCCTGCTGCACGAAGAGGTGGAAGACCCGCAAGAGGTGGAAGGGAACCGGGCATCCGTGGTGGAGCCAATACTTCTAACCCTGTATCTGGTGGAGATCGACCCGCGCCTACATCTGGTGCCGTTGCTGGCGGATCCAAACATCCTGGCCAAACTGATAGGGACCGTAGCGATCCTCGTATTGTCTCTGACACGTCTGGCTCCCCTCAAAACACAAGATCGGGCAGCGCAAATGCAACTGCACCCTTGGAGGATAGAAAAACCCTACAAACCATTTTGCCTGATCGAACTGGTAATGATGCGAAAAATGCAAAGGGTGGTGAGGAGCCCCAGTCAACAGCTGGCAGGGAAACTCAACATTCCCTTTATTCCTCGGTCGATACAGCTCCACGGCAACGACAAAATTCTAAGAATTTTGGTAGGGCACAAGACTTTGCCAATGTGTCATCTCACCGGGGCTCTGAGCATCCTGGGAGATTTTCTGTTCAGGGAGATTCTCACCCTGGCGCTCGGTTTAGCTCAAGTCATGAGCGGCGTTTTGATAGTGGTCCTAGATCTGCAGATTTTTTTAAGGAAGTTCCTCCTTTCCACCCGAGAGATCGAGATTACACACCTCGGGAACGTGGCGAATACCATCGCGAGCGTGAATATGGTAGAGAGCGTGGTGAATCTCGGCACGAGAGAGGTCGTGGAGGATTTAGGGGACGAGGTGGACACTCAAGCTATGGCGGAGCTCATAATTCGCAATATCATAGTGCCCCAATCCCGCAGTCCCAGTTCCAGTCTTCAAAGCCGTTCTCGCTTAACGAACGCAACCGACATCACCAGCAGGGATCTCAAAATGGTTCACAGCAGCATGGCTCGAATCGGGGTCTTAGTATGAGATCACCGTCTCTGCAATCGTCAGGAGTTTATGGTCCCACACCTTATGCCATCCAAACCGATATCAATGCGATATATGGATATGCACCGGTGCACCAAGGTCCAATGACCGCTATCACGTACCAGCCATATATGGAGCATTTCTCCCTGATGAGCATGATCTCAATGCAACTGTAGGTCCCACCTCCTAACAACTCTGTTTTCGGTGCAACTAACAAGCTTTCCCCTTCTCCTAGTGAGTATTATTTCTCGGTGGACAATCTTTGCAAAGATTTGTTCCTCCGGAAGCACATGGACTCGCAAGGCTTCGTTCTATTAAGCTTTATTGCCGGGTTCAAGCGGATTAAGTCTCTCACGGAAGATATGGAGTTGCTTCGAGTTGTTTGTCGCCAACTGAAGAATGTGGAATATAGACCCGCGGAAGACGGCGCAGATCGTCTTCGCAAGCGAGAAAAATGGGAGCAATGGATCATTGCAATGGAATCACGCGATCCTTCTGCCCAGAATGAAGGGCCACCCCCACTCCCCTTGTCATCTCAAGCTCACGATGGGATTAGTGATGGTTTGAATTTGAACTCGACGCACATGGAGGGCCACGCGGCGCCGTATGGCAACGGATCCCTGCATGAAATTTCCGGCAATATTATAGCCGCCCACTACCCGTTGTCGAATGGCGCTGTTTCCGACTCTCGCGTCCATCACACTGTCCTATCGTCCACTGCTCCCGAATTCTCCCCTTCCTATGTCCCTGTAATGGGGGCAATTGAAAATACGAATGTAGGAAAACCCATTGTTGATGAGAGCACTTTCCCAGACGAACAGATTGAGAACTTGGTAATTGTGGTGCGTAAGCCAGGGATTTCCAGCCCGGCGCAGTCACCTTTTCTAATTTCTTCGTCTCGTTCTTTCTCCAGCGGATCTGTTGACGGTGACAAAATAGCGGGTGGCACAGTGAGCGCAGACAACCGAACATCTCTTTCGACCCGGGTGACCCAGACCAATATTGATAGGTAGAAAAATTTCCCCTTTTGTTTACAAGGCTCTCGGTTAGAGTATTACTGACATTCAAGCAAAGCCAAACTGATTTGCAGCCCCGCGGAAGATCACCCTCATTGTCCAAAATACCCGAGACAGTCAATACCAACATGCCCACGTTCTGGGTCAAAGACAGAGATACCCCGATTGAATACCTCCCTACCGACCTCATCCATGAATCCTACAATATATTCCGAAAACAAACCCTTGAAAAACGCTCATCCCACATAACCAACGATGGGAACCTGGATATGGACGTTCTTTATCAATTCTGGTCTCATTTCTTGGTCCGCAATTTCAATTCAAAAATGTACAATGAATTCAAGAGTCTGGCGTTTGATGATTTACATTCAAAGAATTCGACTACGGGCCTCGACAGCATCGTCAGATTTTATGATGGAGTGCTTGCAAGCAATAGAGCGATGCCGGATGCCGTCGCGCGGGACCTGGTCGCACTTGTCGAATCTGAGTTGGTGGACGCGAAACAAACGAGGCCTGCATTTCAAAGGCTTCGGTCTGCGTGGCGGAATGGCGCTTTCAACTTCAAATCCCGGAAACGGATTGATGGTATCATTTCGGACGGACTGAGAGCGGAGTTGGAGAAGTGATGGCATTGATTTTTTTTTCTCCCTTTCGCCCTTCATTTACTTTTACCGTTTTCCTCTTTTTGTTTATTAATTTCCCCCCTCCTCTGGGTGCGAATGTCGGTGTTTGAATGTTTTAAAATAAAACTCTTTCGATTCCCACAAATTGCTTTCCCTACCCCTTTTGTTTCCAATACTTCTCTCTGATACTCAAGAAGTGTCATTGCCTGAGGTAAAGACCGCAAACCGATCTTCGAATACAGTGCAGGAGACCAACTCAATTCTATTTCTTGCCCTCAGCTGTGCCGCGTGATGCAGTTAGATTTTGCAATTTAGCCAACTCCTCCCTTCAATCCCGCTTCCCTGCCATTCATTTTTCTGTCATGTTTTTGCCATGCATTGCTGAATGTGCTTTCCACCACCCGATTTATTTTTTTAAACTTCTGTTGCAAGATTTCTACCTATGCTTCCACACATCACTATCGTAAGGCACAGATTCCTCCCCTAATGACCGTATAGACCCTTACATCTCATTTTTTATTTCTGCTTGTGTTTTCATAAAAAAGCGATTTTTTTTTTTTCCATTTTTATTTTGGTTTGCGGAGCTAACAGGATGGTAGGCGAGGGTTGATTAAAGAAAAAAGAGATAGAAAAAGAAAAAAGGAAACAGAAGAGGAAAGGCAAGAAAAAAGGCAACCCGGTCAAGAGACTATTTTACAATTTTGTAGGGAATTGAGTGACAGAAATTTTGAGAGGACTCAGGAAGGATTCATGGGGTTGTTGAGTTTATTCTTTCGCCTCTCCATCATCAATTCTACAAAAATTTCAATCAATCCTTCATTATCCCCCACTCTGGTATTTGTTTAGTTTTTACTCTTTTTACCTTTACCCATTTTTGTTTCTACTGTTTTCATTAAAAGAACGAACACACTTGATTACTTTTCCTACTTATTTTGCATAGCGGGATTTGATATTATTCTACTGGTTTATATCCTTTCCTTTTCGATACTCCTCATATTCTTTATCCTAACTCGAGCTTTCTGGTGCCTTTGAAAATGGGAAGAAAAGAAGTTCAAGCAAACGATCTTCTCTCATTTTCACTTGAACTGAGAAGGCTTTTTCTCCATTTGAACAACCACATCGAAGGCATTGTTTTTCTATGTTTCATGTTTTCTTTCATCCTGGCTAATTTTGCCTCGTTCTCTCTCCACGTTTTGACATCTATGTTTTTTAATGGCCCTTTTCTTTGCATTTGGTGCAATACTTCACCCTTCTCAACGAAAGGAAGCAAAAAAAAAAAAAAAAAAAAAAAAAAAAAAAAAAAACGTCGTCCGGAGAGTATCAGCTTCATAATATAAACCCACAGATGTGTACACCTCATCTTGTTATTTTTCCTCTTTTCTTTTCATGTTTTTTTTATTTTTTATTTTTATTTTAACACAATCCTTCCTATTACAATAAAACAAGTTTCCTTTTTTCCCCTGTGGTGTCTTTCCACCAATTCGATTTATCTCTTAAGCCTGTGGCTTATTTTGTTCCCCGGTCTTCACTTTTAAAATATTCCCCTCTCTTCTGATTTCCTTTGATTCTACACGTTTCCCAAGAGGATTTAAAGACGTATTTCTAGTATTGGTACCCTTGTTTTTCCCTGATAAAATTCAAGATGTTTTGGTTGTGATTTTGTCTCCCAATCCTATCTTGATTTCTTCACCTCGTCCCGAGGTCAGGCCCTCTCACTCTAGAGTAGTTCTGGTAACATTCAGCAAGAATAAAATAGCTTTTCGTGTGGTTGCTTTTCCGTATCCTCCCTTCTATCCATGGAATCAAGATTTCCCGTCCGATAATAAATGCCAAGCTTTTTCTGTTAAAGCTAGCCTTTTATCTACTAGCTCAAGATGGCCCCCGGATTCTCGGTGTTTTGTTTCTCCGCCGTCTCGCATCAATTGGACCGAAGCCAAATCCGTTTAAGAAGCATCAAAGAAAGACCTCGAAATACTCCCAAAGGTTCTTCAGCTTACACCTCTCTTCAACCCGCTCTCCCCGCGTTTGCACATAGCCCACCGGATAATTATCAGCTGTACTCGGGCACAATGGAGGCAGCATCGCGGCGGATATTATCTAGTGGCGTGCGATTGCACCCGTCAAACCCACTTCTATCGAAAACTCATTCCCGATCCCTCATTCCCGCCACAACCGCCCTTTCCCACCACAGTCCTTCCTCTTCAGCTTCCTCATTAACATGTTTCAACCCATTCCGGCACTTCGCAAGCACCTCACGATCCCTGGCTGGGGAGAGCTCCTTCGCTGGTTTCCCCTCCAGCGTTCAAGGTGGGCCGACTTCATACTTCTCGCAGCGTCAATCGCTGCCCATGAACACGGTGATTAGGTTCGTTCCTCAGCAGACCGCGTGGATTGTGGAGCGGATGGGCAAGTTTAATCGGATTCTGGAACCTGGATTGGCTATCCTGGTGCCTTTTTTGGATCGAATTGCATACGTGAAGAGTTTGAAGGAGGCGGCTATTGAGATTCCAAGCCAGAATGCGATTACGGCGGACAATGTTACGTTGGAATTAGATGGGGTGTTATATACGAGAGTTTTTGATGCATATAAGGCTAGGTGGGGTTTTTGTTGTCTCTCACGGTTTTCGTCTGGTTTTTGTTCTGCTGTTTAATGCTGACTCTTTTGGCTTTCTGGCTTCTAGTTACGGTGTTGAAGATGCAGAATACGCCATCTCTCAGCTTGCTCAGACGACAATGCGTTCTGAAATCGGCCAGCTTACTTTAGACCATGTGCTAAAGGAACGCGCAACGCTTAATACGAACATTACACAAGCTATTAACGAGGCAGCGCAGGACTGGGGTGTTGTCTGTCTCCGATATGAAATCAGAGACATCCATGCTCCCGACGGGGTCGTTGCCGCTATGCACCGCCAAGTCACCGCGGAGCGATCCAAGAGAGCCGAGATCCTAGAATCCGAGGGACAGAGACAGAGTGCTATCAACATTGCGGAGGGTCGTAAGCAGTCCGTCATCCTTGCTTCAGAGGCACTTAGGAGCGAACAGATCAACACGGCAACCGGTGAGGCAGAGGCGATCATGCTCAAGGCTAATGCAACTGCGAGGGGAATCGAAGCTGTTGCCAAAGCCATTAAAGACGGCCAGGAGAATGCACAGGGTGCTGTTAGCTTGAGCGTTGCGGAGAAGTATGTCGAGGCATTCTCGAAGCTGGCGCGCGAGAGTACGGCCGTTGTCGTTCCCGGGAATGTTGGGGATATTGGTGGGATGATTGCTAGTGCCATGGCTGTCTATGGAAAGGTCAATGAGAGTCAGGCTAGGAGTATGGCTGCGAAGGCGATTGGTGTGCAAGGGTCGCATGATCAGAGTGGAGCGGGTGAAGAAGTTTCCGGGAGGCCGAGGGCGGGAGAGTTGACACCACAAGAGTTTGGAGACGCTAGTTCTCCTGCTGCTGGCACAGGGCAGCAAGGGGGGCTTGCGGAGAGCGTACTTGAGGGTTTTGATCAGACGAGCCGACGGAGGAAGCTATAATCATCAAACTCATCACAGAGTAGTATGGCGGAGATGAGGGTGGTGACAGGAGTGGTGTATCACCACCCCACACTCTTCATTTGAATGTATTTTAGTCGATTTCACCTCTCCTTCCATCTTTTCTTGCACCATGTATTTCAGCCCTGTTTCCCATGATTTTCCGTTCTTTTTGTCTACTTTTCCTTTCATCAGTTTGACCCAGAAGCGAAAGGGAAAGAAAGGCTCTCTACGCCACTCAGCATCTTGGAGGAGAAACTCTAAAAGTTGCATTTTATATTTTCTGCGTTTGGATGTGTATAGGTTAATAATCATTATATGTGAGGGGCTTTTCGAGCTGAGGGTTATATTCCATGATTGGGATGTCAGCGGGGTGATGGACCCAGGAGCTTAACTAACTACCACTGAGACTTGAACAATAAAAAGATTGGAATGGTCAGGAATTTACAGGATGTTTTGCATGCAAATAAACAAGAATAAGACGGCAAATGTAATATTAATTATTATCAATGAAATAAGTATCTAAATCTATAAACAATGAGTCTTTTATGTCCGCCAGTTCGTCCACTGCAGCACACTAGTAATATTCTCCGTTCCACCTTAAGAGAGATTCCTCGAGTTGAGTAGTGCCGAACAGGCCCCTGATTATCCCCACGCCAAATACGGAGCAAATCCCTGCTGCAGCTGCTTGGGGCCAACTCTTGCCTTCTGGCCCAACCCGCGAAACCCGCAGATGACCTTAACCTGTAACTAACCACCACCACCACCACCACCTTCACCACCTTTCACCACCTTCGCCAACCGCAATGTTAAATAACCACGTTAAATAACCAGCGCCAGGAACAGTGGTAGGACGAGCCCTGGTCCTACTTCGTTTTGCTCCCATCGCCTCATCCCTTTTACTCTATTGTACCCATCTCCTCGGGAATTAAGTAAACTTAAAATAAGAACATTGACTTCGTAGCTCGTCAAACACTTGCCTCCCACCGCCGCCGCCGCCGCCGCAACCAACTACCTCGACACTTCTTTCGTGCCTTTCCTACTCTTCTACTGGAGCTCTGAAATGCTCGATTCCTCAGGCGATATTATCATTCCATACCTTTCCACCCTGCATTCGAATCTGCGCCGATCCAACAACATTGCAACTCGCGGAAGGGTGAATATCAGGGCGATTGTGCGAGCTGAATAGTATATAAAGCCAGAGGAGAAATAAACAGGGCGGAGGGCTTGGAAAGGAGGTGACGGAAGAGGGAGAAGAGAGAAGACGAAGGAGACATGCATATTATCAAGCCAGTTTGGTTGACCCATGGAGGTAAGTGTTGGTTGTACCTACATCCTGTCCTGACGCCTGTGGGACGTATGATTTGTTAGTTCCTGACTTATGTGCTCCTCTGATTCTTTTCACAGGCGAACGGAAAGATTTTGAGGTCTACAGCTGCGACGTCTCGCCCGATGGGAAGAGACTTGTAACTGCGGCTGGA